TGCTTCTATCCTCCCTAGTCATTGTCCACCTCTCTGATGCATAACAAGTGATTGCAAAGACCATGGCCTGTATCAGATGCACCTTAGTCTCCAGAGAGAAACCATTGCTCTTCAGTACTTTGGAGAGGTCCCTAACAGCAGACTTTCCCATCGTAATATGTCTTTTAATTTCCTAGCTACTGGTGCCAAGAGTGTTGACTGTGAGCCAAGCAAACTAAAGCTGTGTACAATCTCAATCTCTTCACCATCCACCCTGATTCTGCCAATTGGTCCAGTGGTGAGAATCTTTGTCTTCTTGACATTGAGCCTCAATGCATATTGAAGGCTGCAGTCCTTGACCCTCTGCAGCAAGTGCATGAGGTCCTCCTCCGTTTCAGCAAGCAGGCTTGTGTCATCTGCATAATGCAGATTGTTGATAGATCTTCCACCAATCCTGACCCCACATTTCTCCTCATAGAACCCAGCCTCCCGGATAATCTGTTCTGCATACAGGTTGAAAAGGGATAGAGATAGGACACATCCCTTGCGTACGCCCTTCCCAATTTTGAACCATGCAGTGTTTCCTTGCTCTGTTCTGACAACTGCCTCATGGTCCAAACTCATAAGCACGATCAAGTGTTTTGGGATTCCCATTCTTCTCAGAGTCAGCCACAGTTTGTTATGTTCCATACAGTCAAATGACTTTGCATAGTCAAACACAGTGATTTTGAGAATTTCTTAATGTGTCTCTTGGCCATCTGAATATCTTTCTCTGTGAAAGTTTTTTCAAGTCTTTGCCTGTTTTGTAATTGGGTTATCAGGCTTTTTCTTGTATAGACCCTTGTAGAATTCTGTAAACTTTTGTTGTGAGACCCTTGTCTGAGATAGTATTCCGAGTGTTTCTTCCACCTCAGTAGATTTTCTTTTCACTCTGATGGAAAATGTTTTGATGTGCACAGGAATTTAATCTTTAGAAGGTCCCATTCATCAGTTTTATATTCTCCTGGCTGTGTATTTCTAGCTGTATTTGTCAGCCTTTTTATACCATGAGCTAGACCTTCTAAGTTTTGGTCCTACTTTGTCCGTTATAATCTTTATGGTTTTCTGCTTTACCCATAGGTCTCTGATCCACCTTCAGTTGATTTTTGTGTATGATGGGAGGGGTTTATCCTGCTTCAGCTTTCTGCAGGTAGTAGTCCAATTTTGCCAACATCATTTGTTGAAGTGATTGTCATTTCTCCATTTGATAGGTTTTGTTTTCTTGTTGAAAATCAGTTGACCATAGATAGATGGATTAATTTCTGGGTTTTCAATCCTATTCCATTAGTCTGTGTGCCTGTCATTGTACCATTGATTTGGTTATTATAGCTGTGTAGTAGGTTTTGTGATCAGGAAGTGCTATGCCTCCTACTTCATTCTTGTTTTTCAGAAGTGCTTTGCTTATTTGAGGTCTCTTTCTTCTCCAGATAAACTTTCCAGTTGCCTTTTCTATCTCTTTGAAAAATGAATTTGTTGTCTATACTAAGATTGTCATTTTTACTATATTGAGTC